CCGTTTTCTTTATTACTTAACATAATAAACATCATTAAATTATATCTCTACATATATAATTACGAAAATAGTTTCACCGTTTTAATTATCTACGAGATATATTTTCGTTTGCAATTAAGCATCGGCGAACGTGGAAATAATTTTGAAAAGTGTGGCCACGTGATGAGCAGATTTTTTTTTCTTTTTTCGAAGACAGAAAAAACGTTTCAGACGCATATCTTCCAAAGAAGATTCTGATAATGATAATGCGATAAAAACAAATGAAACTTGTGAGACAAGTGAAAGTAACGCTAATGATTGGCATTGTTGTGTAAAGGAGATAATCCCACTGTAATAGATCTATTCAGTCTAATATTGTCGGATGATCATTGGGACGCGATAGCTGTTGAAACAAATAGATATGCAGCACAGATGCTAAATAGTGAGAATTACAAAAAGAAAAAAAAGATACATTGTGAATGTGAACTTTGTTTGGTAGCTTTACACGTTCCAGAATGTTTCAAAAAGTGTCACACTGAAATAAACTATTAATACACACATATACAATCTTTCGTTGTTTTCTCGGAAAATTCATGATTAATAAGTAGTATAATTTCTACGCTGCATTGCCCAAGTGCATTTTGTCCACACAAATGACTGCGAATGGGTTAATGAACTTGAGGATTCTCGTCGAACGCGCAGAGAAAGAACGAGAGAAAACGAGAGAAAGTGTTTCCGATCGATCGTTAGAGGTTGTTGAGCAGAATGATTAGTTCGAGTTAGTTGCTCTAAGCAAGTGGAAATGGGACGGAATCGGCTTCCTTTTTATACTGCAGCGTCGATTCTTTTCGTTTTATCCACGTGGAACGTGGAGCGTGACCGAGGTGATTCCTTTCGGCGGGAATACATTTCAGGGTCCGTGGGATATATGCAGGAAGCGACAGTTGGCGCGAAAGATTTTAGCATATGTTGAAATCCGCCGCGAGTAACGCACACGTGCATCGACGATATCGTGACCGAATGAATGAATATGCATCCCCATTCACAGGAACGTCACGGTATTTGTTGTATGCGACTGTTTGAGGAGGACGCGATTCGTCACGATTTAAAACGCCGCGCTGCCGGAAGAGAAACGCTGCCTGTGAAAAATTGCGTGGTTCGCGAACGAAACCAGAAATGCCAGACACAACGTATTTCAGCCAGCAATACGCCTGTTTGCACAAAAAAATTACAGACTCTCGGCGTTCGATTCTACTTTTTTTCTTTTTTTTTTTTTTT